AAAAAAATTGATAAATGAGATTCCATCAAAATTTAGAACTTTAAATGACATCGTTAAAATGAAAAGTAGTCCTTAAACAGACCATATTTATAATGCATATAACCTATGATCGGAATATATAAAGAACTCTTACTGCTTCTTAATAGACAACCCAATTAAAAAGTAGACACAAGAAGATGATAAATAGCCAGGATAGCACAAGGAAAGGTGTGGAACACTGGAATCAGGAAAATACTAATCAGTAAAATAACAAGATTGAATTAAACACTCATTAGGGAGATGAAGTTAAAAGTTTTAAAAGAACAAATATCAGCTTAGGTGTGAACCAATTAGAACTTTCTAATACTGCTAATATGAATGTAAAGTGATAAAACCATTTTGGAAAACAATATAGAAATCTCTTGCATTACTGTTAAGAACCAACAGTCCTGTTCTTAAGATTTGACTTGAGAGGAATGAAAACACATGTTCACAATAGATCTGTACATACAAGTTGAGTATCCCTTATCTGAAATTCTTGGGATCAGAATGTTTCAGATTTTCGTTTGAAATCCACTTGATCTACAAAGAGGATAGCTACTCCTGCTTTTTTCTGTGTGTGGGGGGAGGGGGGGTCCCGTCACATGGAGTATTGTTTTCTACCCTTTAACTTTCAGACTATGAGTTTCTTTTTGAATTAAATTTGTTTCTTATATGCAGCATGTCGTTGGATCTTCCTTCTTGACCCATTCCGCCAGTCTATTTCTTTTGATTGGTGAATTGAGACCATTAACATTGATGGTTATAACTTATAAATATTAACTTATCATTGTCATGACTTTTTCTGTTTGTTGGATTCTCCCGCTTTGTGTTTAATTTCTTGCCACACCCTATGGACTCATTCTCCTGGGCTTCCTGGTGTTATGATCCTCATTGTCTTTTTCTAGGATATTGTCTAAAATTTTTTGGAGTGCTGGTTTGGTATTCATGAAGTTCCTCAGGTACTCTTTGTCATGAAAGTATCTTATTTCTCCATCAATTTTTAAAGATAACTTTGCAGGGTACATCAATCTGAGTTGGAGGCTGTTTTCTTTTAGGGTTTGGAATACATCACTCCAAGCTCTTCTTGACTTGAGGGTTTGAATGGAGAAGTCTGCTGTGATTCTGAAAGGCTTTCTTTTGTATGTGATTTGTTTCTTTTCTCTAATTGCTTTTAGAACTTTGTTCTTCTGTTGGGTTTCTGGAATCTTAACAATTATATGCCTTTGTGTAGATTTTTTTTTTGATCAAGGCTAGTTGGAGTCCTATATGTCTCGCTTATCTGTATGTCAAGTTCTTTTCCCCTGCTTGAGAAGTTTTCTGCCATCACTTCTGTGAACAGTTTTTATGTCATCTGGACTCTCTCCTGTTTCTTCATTGACTCCAATCAGTCTTATGTTATTCTTTTTTGCATCGACTAGCAGCTGCTAGATTGATTTCTTGTGGCCCCTTACAATTTTAAAGAAATTTTTCTTTTCCTCATCACTGATTGCAATCTTATCTTCTATATCTGAAATTCTGTCCTCACATTGGCTCATTCTGCTGCATAGACTTTAGGTGGAGTTTTTAATCTCCTGGGAAATCTGTTTGCATCTGTTTTATGGATTCCATTTGTTCCCTATGTTGGGATTCCATCATGTTCCTCAGATCCTCTATTTTTTTATCAGTGTCCTTTCTAGATTTATTATTCATGTCTTGCACTATGGGCACAATCTCTGCTGTTTTCTGAGAAATTATTTCTGATTTCATTTTTTCCAGATCCTCTTTCGTTGCCAGTTCAGGGAGTCCAGGTGGTTGAGTATCAGAATGTTCCATCTCATTTCCCTTTGGGGTTGCTGTAGGTGATCTGGAAGTCTGCATTTGAGACTTGTTTACATGTCTTCCCAT